TGCGGGGAACTCTGCAAAAAACGCGTCTTCGCACGGGCAGCCCGTGCGTTGGCCATTTATTTTTTTGCAGAAAATGATGATCCACCTAGTAATGTTCGTCTGCAAATTCTCTTGGAATATGTACACGCGGAGCTAGCAAAAGTAAGCGACGTTGCGATCGAAATAAGAAATTGTAATTTTTGGCGAGAAATTACGGATGGCATCGATACATCGGTTTTGAAAGGATCACCGTCGACCGTGGAGGATGGAAGTTTTTGTCCAACGCGCCTCTACGTTTCAAGACTCTCCTCGTGGCGCCTTGTGATCACAGTTTTATTAGTGGATCCTCGGCATATTGTGCTGGCCACGTCCAGTATTGTACCGACGGTGCCAGTGCTGGTTTTTCATTGTGATGAGCCATGGATTGCGCATCATTTGGCCCGGGTTGAGCCGTGGAACTGCGAAACATACGTATCGGATCATCGCACCAAAAGTCCAACATCCACGTTGGCACATCTCAGCCGACAGATACGCACCACGGAGAGCTCAACAAGTAATTGTTGTCATTAACCATCCGGCTTGCTTAAAGAGCATCACTGTGTAGCAAAGTGTAATCTCTCAGATGCAGTGCGAGTGTCAGACTCAGGGTGGCAGTTACTAAAACTCGGGCACTTACCAAGAGCTCGTCTCGGCCCAAGTTAAATTACAAATCTTTGGAACGCACGCGGATAGGGGACATCGTCTTAAAATTTCAACTTCCTAGCTTTTCTTATTCCCGAGTTAGAAGCCCTGAACAAAATTCACTCGAACCCCTCTCCCTTTCTTCTCCCCCCTCCCCCCACACACACACACACACACACACACAAACACACACACACACATACACATGCGTACTCGCACAACACACACAAAAACGGGTCTCGACAGTGTGTGTTTTGTGCAACTGTTATAGTGCAGAACTCATAAATATGTTTATAGTAGTCATTATTTCCTTCCATTGTGGAAATTGTTTAAAGCAAGCTGAAGGTTGCTCCGGTTTTTAGACGCTTTCTTCTTTTACCACAAATTGGCATCTCTCAGCCAATTTCAGCTCCTCTTTGGCGTATTACAACAACTTTTTTCACGCTTTTTCCCCCTTTTGTGGGATATTCTGAGGTTTCATTGCGAAGAGGATTGGACGGTCGTATTCGCGTCGTGCGTAATAGGATTTTCAGAAGTTGAAACGGACCAGCTGGAGTTGCAATGGCTGTCCACTGCTCGTATCAGTGCAACGGAGGATCGTGTTCACACCTCGTTTGATTTGCATTCTTATTGCGAGGCGCTCGAGGATCAAGTCTTCTCACGTGCGCTCATTGCAGCCGTTTACCGATCATTGTTTGAAGGTTAGTTCTGTTCTCTCACGTTTTTTCGTGCATAAGTGGATGGGCGCAGAGACCTTTTGCTGGACTTGCTGCAGTAATAAATTGCGTTACTCTTGCTCCTTAGAAGTTCACGGGTAAATACAGGGTGAGCGCCGTGATTTCATAGATGACAACATTCAGAAATTTACATACCGTACGAAGATTTGGTGGAAGTGCTGGAAGACCGTTGTGAGCAGTCGACAATTGAAGTTATGGGCATCGTTGAGTGCATCCGTTTTCTGTGCTCCCACATTGCTAATACTTGCAAGGAGGTTAACTTTTTAATGTTTACGCTTGAAATGATATTAATGTGATATTTGTCATCACTACGAAAAGCACCACTAGGAGCAAACCACTTGGGCACAATGATAAACAGTAGTTGAACAGAGACTAATTGTTAGCAATATAATCATTTGCTCAGCAATTAAATGGTTCACAGTGATAGATCCATCATGAATCCTGCGGTATTTCTGGAGATTTTTGGCTAATGCGGGAGTCCCTCGTAGTAGTTTTTTCGAAATACCTTGGCTAATTTCTCTTTTATTTCATGATTATCGCGAAATCAAGTTAATTCCGGCACAAAAATATCTCATTTTATTGTTTTATTCCACGTCCCACAAATTTCTAAAATTCTGGAATTATGACAAATAGAAACTTATATCATTGAATGCGTTGGTCAGTTATGATCTTATTATAGCGCATCTTCGCGCCTTGGTTGCGCGTGGCATCTTTTCCGTAGTCAGCCGTGATGAAAGCTGTATCGCGTGCTGGCTAATTATCATAGTGTTTTGTTCTGTTCGTTCACCAAATATATCTTTTTCAGTCATCGCTTGATTCCACAACTGATTCTGCCGACGATGAAGCAAGAAATAGTGATTTTTTCAAGGATGACGTTATATACAGGT